TCAAGTCATAGACTTGGTATTATAGATAGAAAGAGGATATAAACAGTGGAAGCTAGAGTTTGTTGGCTAACAATAGTCATGATTCAAGGATCACGTTTATGATCAAACACGTCTATTGCTAGCCAAACAGATTTAGTCTCCACCTCCCCTTTCATTTTTCTATCTATAATACCATGTCTATTACTTCTTATGTCCTAGTCTCTTGTGTGCCAACCCACAAATGTTGTGGTTCTACTTGTTTTGATAAGGCTCACTGAAGACGTATCCTCTGCTTCTGATTCTTCCTTTCTCATCCTCTTGCGATCTCTTTTCCTAAAATTAAGGATATTACCTTTATCCAGTCGTCTTCTTTTTGCTGATCTAGCTGTTGCATGGTCTTCTCCGAGTTTGTTTAGGCAATATGCAAAGCTTTCGTTGATCCTGCCTTCTTCAAGTCTCCTGTTCATTAGATCTCTCTCGGTCAGTATTTCGATGGCCTCTCGGATCTTGCGTTAAGCATGATTTCTTGTTCTGAAGGTGTTCGTCACATGTCAAATTAAAGCTTAGTAAGGATTCATCAGGGTCACAGGGCAGTGCGCCGAGGAACTATTTGTACAAATCTGCAATCACAGCTTTCGATGGAACCAAATTATGAATCCCTTCTACTTGCCTCTTCAAACGAAATGAAAGGTACTCTGACGTCAACTGAAAGAAGGGTCTCATACGGTGAAAACACAAGGAAACGGATCGTTAGGGAGGCTATTAACATCCTCCGGAAAAAAATCTACTGAACAGGAGATTTGAGCAATTACTTCGCCCACTGCATAAGCAAATTCGTGAAAATAAGACTATGGCAAGACCAGTAAAAAGAGGACGCGTATGTTCCTAGTCCACGATCTGACGCTGACATTTCTGCTAGCTACTTTGCTAGAGGACTTCGGAAATGGTAGGTCCAACTAAGTCGCCCTGACAACAACAACAATTTGCCATTATTGAGTCCGCTTTGTTCGTTAGTTTTATCGTTTTTTTCTCAGGTGGATCACGTGTTTTACTTCTGGTATATAAGTCGTTGAGCTCAAGAACAGTTTTCTAGTCAGTTCTTTCATGATGGAAAAGGTCTTTCGGTATACAGTTTATGATAAGCTCATTTGACTAGTCTTTCCTTAAACTCGATTTTGTAAGCTCAACCATCATTTTTCAACCCTTTTTCCCATCTTTCTCATCCTCTGCCTATTTATACTCTTATTGAAATTAATTTTTCAGCTGACTCCTACTCTTTACACGGAGAAAGAAGATGCAGCCTCATTCGGTGGGCAGTACCAGCTTCATGATTTGTATCTAGACTCCCCTCCTACGGAGCAATCAGCTGTTTACGTACAAGCTGAGTCAAACGCAAATCTTCCGGATGCAAATCGACCTAACTTGTCGAGATCTGTGTTGCCTCCTGTTACATTTTCTCTTTACGTTCCCGACGTAACCGAATCGGACAACTCATTCTGTTGTGATTCACTGTCAAATGTTACATCCACAAAAATGAATAGCAATGAAAATGGAAGCGCCAAGGGGACAGAATCATCGATTCTAAGTGGCCTTTTAACAGAAGATAGATTAGGGTTCGACGCTTTGTCTACAAATCATTCCGATTCAGAAGTTTTAAATGTTTGGATTGAACCTGCCATTGCCTCTAAAGCTTCCACTTCCATGACCAATACTGAGCCTCTTGTTGGAAATATAATTAGCCAAATTAAAGACTTAGAAACTGCTGATTCTTTGCAACGAGAATCAGCTGATATTATGGATGACGCCCTATTTCAGGAATTCCATCCACCTTCGTCATTACCACCGATAGCGATTACCACCTCCTCCACTACAATAGCATCAACGAGATCGAGATCAAGTGGGTCGCTATTCTCTTTCCCAATTGGCTTAGGGACACCATACCTGTTATCACCGACAAAGATTGTTCGCCTTGCTGCCAACCTCCAGCAGCATGTCTCAACTGCCCTTACTCCATCCGGTGGACTTCAGCAAGTTGTGCCTTCATCGAGCGCAAATGCGTTATCTGCTAGTCGT